TTACATTAATTCATTTGGTCCTAATTGGAAAACAACCATGATTCATCTTTAAAAGGTACCTTCAGCGTTTGTCCACCTGGCACAGTGAGTGATGGACTATGGGACACTGAAGGAGCCTACGCTCAGTTGCAGTGCTCAGTCCTCATCGCCGTGCTGTATTTCTCATCAGCCGGCATCAACCCAGAGTGCAGAAGACAGTCAAACTCCCACACCCAGCAACTGACACAGGAAAACTGCAAGCTGGCCTGTTAAGTAACGCTGATGGCCTTGTACAAGGTGATTTATAGACAGCTCATTTTCCTCTTTAATGCCTGTGAATATGCAATAATGATTAATTTCCCCAAGGCACCAGATGTTGTAGATTGTATTGTTTTTACTGCATTCAACTGGGCACATTAGTTTCTCATTTCTTCCTCAATATTAATTTCTTAAAACAGCCTTCAGCCTCGTATTCTCCAGGGACCTGGAGCTTCATTAAGGCCTGCACATGTGAGAAGGCTTGCTTTTATTGCAGTTTAAAATGTTTTAAGCATTGGGGGGATCAATACATTTTCCTGCAAAAGTGAAAACTGACAGACATATCTAAATCCTATTATAGAAAACAGTGAATTATTTATGACATCTTTTTTGGCTTTGCTTCTGATGCAGCATCTCTTACAGATAGGATTACAGCGGGGTTAGATCTTGGAGATGTATAAATGATTAATACGTGAACTGGAACGCCGCTTGCTTACAAAAGGAGTAAGTAATCCTTATCAGGACAAACGGCCTGAATTCCTCGGATAAAAGAATGATGTTGCGCAGGGGAGGCCAGTCAGTGTTGGCTGGGGAGAGACAGAATGGGTGAGATTCTGGGCTGAGACAACCAGAGTGGCCCAAAAAGAATTAAGAACCTGCATGGGTCGTAACATCTTAAGATGCCCAGACAAGGTTGGTGCCAGGTCAGGGTCTCCAGGTTGATATATAGTAGAAGATAAGGACAAGGGACTCAGAGCCAGTCAGGAGTGTTATACTGCATGGCAGATCTCACAGTGCAGGGAGTTTAGAGGGTGTGACTGGTGTCTAATGGAGGGGACCTCACAGTGACTCTGTAAGACCCACTGGCTGCATCTTTCATTCCTGACACCCCCAGCAGGAAAACGCTGATGGCTCTTTTTGTGATCCCAGCTCCTGATAAATCGGGAAAGAGATTGCCTCCCAGGGAATTCAGCATGATCAACCTCGTTCCGCCTGTCAGAGGCCTGCAGTCAGGTGTGTGCTGACAGCCACATTCAACTCTGAGAGGGCTGTGCAGCGGGCCAGGGGATGGAGGGAGATGGCATTACCATATTTGACAGGGCTGTGTGACTGCAGTTAGGGCAGCGGCATAAAACTGCAGAAAATAGGTGCACCTGCACCTGCTCTGTACAGTGTCCTGTTTCACAGCAGTATTGCTACAGTTCACAGCATATGCCAGGAATCAGAGGCATGCACAGCAGAGTTAGTAGGGCAGAAGTGTTTGGCAGTGCTGTGCATTTTCTGTTGTTTCTTAGGAACAGAGCTGGTCAGCTGTGTTATGGAATATGAAAGCCTTTAGGAGGTGCATTGGGGGGCATTGTGGAAAAACGATCCAGATTGTGCACAATTTGGCACTTAAGTATTGGCAATGTGGCCTGATGGGTTTGCATGTGAAGCCTTAGAGCCTGCAGCCTGCCTACCCCTCTTGACTGATCGCATTGCCACTCGCATTGTGACTCTACAGCCGCCTCAACACCATGTATTATTGAAGGCGAACCATTTGTTCGAAAAGAAAAAAGAAAACTAGAACCTGCTGGATTGTGGAAAATACCCCCCCTTGACGGACAACTAATTGTTTTGGAGGCAATAATACCACAGTTCCACTTTGTAACATAGTAATAATAAGGAGTAGAAATGGGTGGGAAGCTAGACCTTCTTCTTGCTTCCTAAGGCAAACAGGGTGTGTGTGTGTGTGAGGGAGATGACAGGAAATGGATTGCCACTTCATGAAAGCGACCAAAATAAATAGCACAAAGGATGAGATAGTCAAAAGCCAGTGGGAATAAATCAAGCAGCGACACTGATAACACAACTCGAAGTAACAAAGCCTCCCGCTTTACTCACTGAATCACTGCACAACCTTGAAGAGCATCAGAAATGCATAGAACTTATATCATTTATTTATAGAGCTTTGGATTTTTTCTGTTGTTCAAAATGGGCATTTCCAGGTCTCTTCAGAAATCCAGCAAGACCCTCCTGAAAACATCCTGTTGCGCCGCCTCCGTGGGGGAGAGGGATCGGACAAGCGCCAAGCCGAGAGGAGACGTGGGACACCTCGTCCTGTCAGCCAGCAGCTCTTTCTCCTCTCTCATCTCACTTGATGATCTCGCTGCTAATGACCTGCGATGGGAGAAACAATCACGCTAATGACATAAATACCACACTCTCGCTTATTAACAGCCCTTATAGGCTGACGCACTGCGATCACGTTCAGCTGAGGAAAGGGAAAAGAAACAGCAAAAAAAAATCTTCATAATGATGCCTTAGAAAGTCCAAGGTTTTACACTCATTCCCCCAAACAGCTTGTTAGCTCCTCTCTGCTCTTGTTCCCCCCAGATCCTTATTTCCCACATTCCATTTATTCTGCTTTGGTAGAGGGATGCACTGAATTGAACCGCAACCAATGCACAACAACAAAACAAGATAGGAAGAGCTACGCTTTTTAGGTCAGCTTGTGTAAGGGAAAAAAAATAAGCTGTAAAAGAAAAAAAAAAAGGCTCATCCTTATCCACACTCGGGGTCCCCTGGTGTCTACGAGCACCTCCAGACACTGATGTCACTCACCCCGTTAAATAAACATCGCGCCCACAATGCACCAGGAGTGGCTGGGCCAGATGGCACCCTCCCTGGACGGCAGGGGCCCAGGGGTGGTGCTGGTTGTTGTTTTTGATGAGCTATGCACAGATGAAACCGGAACATCTGGAGCGACCATGTGGCACCTCCAGTTGGCCAGCCCCTTCAAGCCAGCCTCTCACCTCCCCGGGCCAGATGCATCTAAACAACTGTGAGCTAAACAGGATGAATAATTCATGCGGGAGGAGGAAGAGCGCTGCTCGCACAGGGGGCCCGTCAGCCACTTTGATTAAAAATCTAAAAAAGTAATGAATATGCAGGAGGCGCCGAGGTTGCTAGGAGGGACTGATTTGTCAAATTGTCCGTACTTCATCAAGATCGAGTAACCCCTCCCGGGCCCTCTAATTAAAAAAAAAACCTCACCATCGGATTGCAACGTTATCTTAATTATTAAGCACTCCTGTGCTTAATTAATGCTTCACAAGGATTTAAAGAGAAATATATGTGATTGCTCCTGAGCTGCGAGTGAGCTGCATATAAAGTCAGGTCTATTCAAGCAGGAATCGGGAGAGAGAGAGAGAAAAAAAGAAAATGAAGTGATTCACGTTCATATTGTGACTCTGCATCAATTAGATTGTTTTAATTAAGCTTAATTAGAGGTAAAATTACAATGATATGCTTGATACCTGGTATTAAATCATTCATGCATAAATGTTTTGTTAAAATGGTGAAAAAAAGCCTAGTGGCACTCAGCCAGCAATTAGCTAGAAGTGTTCTAATGAAAGATTACTCTTGTATTATGACTCACCCTGACAGGTGTCTGAGTTAAGTTATTTGTGTTGCAGCAGGCAGGCAGGCAGGCACAAAGACTTATACGGCAGAGTTGTAGTGCCGGAGATAAATCCATACTTGTGTTTTATTACAGTCGAGTGGAGAGCAGAGGGGGTTGAAACAGGATGAGTTCTGTAGGCAGGCTGGCTGGGTCGTTTTTAAATGCCTTGTAAATTTGTCAGTGATATTAAGTGCTCATTAAAAGGTGCAAAGCTGTAAGAGACAGTCTGCTTACAATGTGGGTGGGAAGGAGTCTAAGTGAGTGCATCGCCATCCGCCTAAACGCACTGGCCGCCTTTTCTGCTGCTTTGAAGGAACTGCTGGTAAAACTCAACTGATTGAAAGTGTCGGGCTGATGTCCAGGTGGTGTTTGAGTGCCGGGGGTTGAGCATGGCAGCTCCTTCGCTGCGATGTTATTGCATGGGCTTGCTCGTTGTGTCCTCACACAGGATCTCACCTGGGGACACTTCAGCTTTCAGAGCAGATGGGGGGGGGGACTGTGGACGGGCCCCTCCCTCCACGCAGAGCTGGTGCCGAGCCCCACCGCCTGCCTGCCCAGATCACGCCTTCCACGGGGAGCCTCTGGCCCAAGTCGGGTGACACTTCTGCCAGTTTGAAAGGGATCCTCTAATTAGCAAGTGATTAGGATCTGGGGAGCAGATGGGTATTTTTTTTTGACCCAGGAATAAATGGCGGAATCGATTTGGCAAATTAAAGGTGGGGTCAGAATGAAAACCTGATGCTGCTGATGTCCTTGAATACAAAACTGCTGGTTAATATTGCGTAGCAGCCTTCGCACTCTGCCCCGTTTCCTGCACTGCTTAGACGGGATCAATTAAAAATGGGGCTTCCTGTATGTTATAGAGCTTGCAAGCATGAACTGTTTCTTCTTACTGCTGTCTCGGGTACTCACATGCACCCCTTACTGAATGGGAAAGATCCAGTTTTTGACTGTACAATTGTGTATCCAACCTCTTTTGTTACGATTACCTCCTTCCTCTCCACTCCCGGGGTCTAGATCAGCGGTTTACAGCAGAGAATAATTGGAGTAAATCAAACACATTATTTAATCTTTAAATAAGATTCAATCCAACCAAAATTGCAAATTATGAACGATATCGTCAGGTAATGTAAAGGCGAACTACGGATCTGTTTTAAAACGAGAACGTTTAAACACAGGTGGCCTAAAAGATGGAAATGACGTAACGGGTTTTGCTAGTGACCATAGAAACTAGTTTTTGGTTGTTCGCAAAAGATGACTCAACAAATAAGCAGAAGATTTAGTCAAATAAATAGTATTTACTTTTTTGGGTTGATTTTATTCCACTGATTTAGTCTTCAGGAATCTTCAGGAATGCTATGTTTCTTATTACAACAATAATATACACAATACATACGAGAGTATATATAAAATCATCGGGGTACATTACAATTGCATTTGAGAAAAAGGTTAAATGAGGTAAGTAGAGATAAGGTGCGCACAGCTTTCGTAGGAAGACAATGAAAATGTTTAGTTCACGTTCTTGCGATTCGTCGCAAAAAGAAAGAGGAATACGCAGATTTACGGCCAATCGCACAATCAAGCTGAACTTCGGGCGGGTCCGTTTTAGCTTATTGTGGCGGAGGCTGAATATCACCATACGAGATTTGACCACACTATTGCTGTACTCTTGCCGTTTCCGGGAACATATCTCTGGAAGACAGAATTTTCAACACGTTAAACACGTAAAAGAGAAAGCAAGCTTTAAGAGTGGTTCTTCCCCTGGATCAGTCGTTTGAACTGCTAGGTAGACCTTCACCCTCGAAAGGGTGAACTTTATAAACAATCAATTCAGCTGAAAAAGTGGTGGTGTCGTGAATTTGTCTTACCGAAATGAACTGAAAATGTTGGTAAACACTGTTTTCGCCATATTTAACCTCTTTGGAAGCGCTAGTGTATCTGTAATCCCAGGAAACCAAAGCGGACCTAGTGTGGAAGTAGCATGCATCGATTTGCTAATGAAAAGTGTTGCTCTGCATGTTGCTTTTCTAAAGTCCATTTCCACTTTTGCATTGAAGGATTGGTTAGAGAATAAAACATGAAATACTACCTGGCTTCACTCACAAAGTTATAGGTGTTCTTTTGACTCACTGAGCTCTGCAGGTGAAGACAGACTATCCTGGACATCTGTGAAATAAGCTGTCTATGTAAGGACATTGCTTCTCCAAAGTCAGTGGGAATGAGTTATGAATTACATGTCGGGACTGGATCTCGGAGATTGAGACCACATAGTAAAATTGTCATGCATAGGACGATGCGTGTCTTCATGCAGAGCCTCCCTCTTTGTTGCCAGTGCTAGTGGCCTATCTGCACATGGCTGTGCTTGCTGACAAGTGCTTTGTTTCTCTGTAGTGACGTGCACCCTGGTGTAGATGGAGATGTGGGAGCAACGGTTGGAGAGAAGGCTTTGTGCTAGCGCCCCCTGCCAGCAGTGCAGCGTGGGGGCACACGCCGACAGCACTGGCTTCTCTCTCCCCTGTGACACTCGATGGTTGGAGCGCAGAGTAAACAGGTAGGACTGACAAATTTACATGATCTGGATGTCTGGATGTACAGTGGGTTACAAGGGAATGAGCCTGAGCTGTAAGATCAAGCCAGGCAAATTTTGACAGATGTGGACTTGAATGCACACTGGCCAAAAAAAAGTGATTTTGCATAACTGTCAGCTTCACAACACCTGAAGTTCTCACAGCGTCCCTGGGTCTAAAAACTGGCAATTTAAAAATGGAGAACTGGAACAGATGAGCAAAGGGACGAACCTGCAACTGCTTGTTGATTTCTTCCAGTGTTTCTGTTTTTCTTTTCCAGTCTGTGGTGTGGCAGCTCGTGTTCTTAAGTCATCCTCTCTTTAATGTCCCCTGGCAGAGGAAGGCTGCCCCTGTGCTGTGATCGGAGGCACAGCCTCGCTAATGCTGTTTTCACATGTGTCAAAAAACTAATTAGCTGAGCTTGAGCCTAGGGGCTGAGTGAGGGAAGGTGACCACACTGAGTGCACAGCTGGCGAAAGGAAAATGAAGCTTTCTTCTCCATGATTTCCAAAACCTCTGCCACATAGTTTAGTGGAGGTGGCTGCAATGGCCACTGGGTACTGATGTTTTCTGTGGAAAATGTTGTTTTTAAGAGGAATAGCACTTCCCGTTTTCTCTGGGAAGGTGTGTCAGAGAGGCTGGGGTGGATCTCCGCTCGTCTCTGCCTGGGCCTTGTTTGACAAACTGAAGAATACAAATCGGTGTTCTGTGGATCGCAGAATTTCAATACAGAAAGCAACGTTTGGAGTTTTCAGATCCTGATGCGGACAGAGCATTGGCACTGGGGTTCAATTCCAGACCTGGGGTGCTGTCTGCCTGGAGTTCGTATACCCACACACGACACTGACAACACCGTTCGAGTCTGTTTCCTGCAGGCACTCCAGTTTCCTGCCACAGTCCAAAGACATACTGGTAAGTTAGTTGGCTGCAGGGTAAATTGCCCCTGGTCTGAGTGTGTTTGCCCTGCCATGGTGTACCCTCTCTTGCCCCTGTTGCTTGCTGAGAGGCAGTGGCTGCCCTGCGACACTGCGTCGCATCAAGCATTTCGAAAATGGATGGATGGGGGGGCTGCCAGCATTGCAAGCAGTTAAAAACGATAAAATATTGCAGTGCACTTTTTAAGGGGAGAGGTTATCAATTTTCACCATGTCCTGTTTTAAGCCTTCTTTTCCTTGGGGTTCTGCCCTACTCTGGGCCATGTAGAGCTGCAGTACAATAAGTAGCTGTCCCCGACTAGGCACGGAGGATGTCTTCCTGTAGGCCTGTTGATGATTAACTATGTGGCAGCAGGGGACTCCTCCAGCTTCAGGTCTGGTGATTTAAATAGCCTGTCTGTAAAGTGTTTCTTTCTTACCGCTGAGTGGCTGGTGTACTGGTTCCCCTGGAGGCATGCCAATGCCAGACAGCTGCGATCTCCGATCACGTGCACATCTGCACAGCCGTTGTCCAAGCTATCGCCCCGTCGTCCCGCCCTGTCCCCCCTGCAGGTGGTCACCCAGCAGCAGTCTGAGCTTGAATGTTGCCATTACAATCACATAGGTCAGAGTGAAAGCTCATCTCCGCCATGTTCCAAGTGCTCCTTCCTGAAAAAGCACAAGTGCAGTCTTGGGTGTGTGTCAGGGGACAGCCAGCATGCCCCCAAATGCTAATCGGACTTGAGGGTGTGTGTGTTGGTGATGGGAGAGTGGCAGAAGAGTGAAATAAAAGCCCTATTTATTTTCCAATTACAAATTAGACTGGGCCATCACTGCCTGACTCCACGCCACGCGGGGCGGGTCATCACCGTGACAACCCTGCCCCTGGAACTGGTGTGGGGGGAAGGGGGACAAGCCTGGCCTCTCTGTGTGTGTGTCTGTGGCTGAGCCCTGGGGCATTCCTCAGCAGCCATTAAGAAGCGTGAAAAAGCCAAACAAAAAGAACAGCAGGTTTTCCCCTCCTCTACACCCCCCTTCAGTAAAACGATCCCGGCGTCGGCAGTTCTGACAGGGGTGGGGCTCCAGCCACCCCTGGGACTCTGGGACTGGCACACAAAGGCACTGCGGGGTGCCAGTCATTAACGGAGCGGGCAGGGGGCTGGGGGCGGGTTCCGCGGGGCAAAGGGGGAACTGTGGAAAAGCCGGAGTGGAGCTGCCGCTTCGGACCGCAGCCATGGGAGCTCCAGGAAGCGTCTTCCCAGGATGCCCCCGCCGAGGTCCAGCTGCTGGGTCCTCGTCGTGGTAGTCAGCTATAACACTCTGCCACTCACAACTGGCAGCCCACTGGAGCTCAGCCGCTGTGAGCCTGCCCAGTACCTGGATGGGAGACCTCCTGGGAAAAACTAAGGTTGCTGCTGGAAGAGGTGTTAGAGGGGCCAGCAGGGGGAGCTCTCCCTGTGGTCTGTGTGGGTCCTAATGCCCCAATTTAGCGATGGGGACACTGTACTGTAGAAAGGCGCCATCCTTCAAATAAGTCGTAAAACCGAGGTCCTGACTCTCTGTGGTCATTAAAAATACCAGGGGGTTTCTAGAGAAGAGTAGGGGTGTAACCCTGGTGTCCTGGCCAAATTTTCCCCTGACCTTTACTAATCGTGGCCTACTAATAATCACTAATAATCCCAATCTATCAATTGGCTTCATCACTGTTCTTCTCCGCACTGATAGCCGATGTGTGGTGAGCGTTCTGGCGCACTATGGCTGCCGTCGCATCATCCAGGTGGGGCTGCACACTGGTGGTGGTTGTATCTCCATTACCTATAAAGCACTTTGAGTGGAGTATCCAGAAAAGCACTGTATATGTGTAAAGAATTAGCACAAAACAGCAGGACCCCAGGGCTGCAAGACTGTTTTGCACTGACCCCTGTCCATTTTGTTGGTCTCCGTTTTGCCCTCCGTATCTTCTGTGTGGGGTGGTCAGCAGCAGTTTTCGCCCTGCTGTGTTTGGGCCTATGTGAGCAGAAGCACTGCGGTCCTCGAGCTCGGTCAGCTGGCAGGTGGGAAACCCCAGTGAGCTGTGGGGTGCAGAGAGTCGCCCTCCTGTGGGAAGAGAAATTCCCATGCTCCTCTACCTCCCGCCCGGGGAAGTTCCTATCTGGCTTCAACGGAACTGCTGTAAAAAACACCTAACGTACGACAGACATCTTCAGGAACTGATCCATCAAACTGCCATTAAGCTTGTGTATATAAACCTCAATTATGCAAATGATCATTCATGCTACATTTACTAAAGCAGGCTGGAAGACTAACAGCCCTTTTGATGTTTTAGTGCAGTGAGCAGTCAGCTAACTTACGTGCTGCTCCTTAGAGAGTCTGTTTCCAGTGGACCCAATCACCACCATAATTTATTACTGGCCCTCCTGGTAGTATCTGTTCAGGGGGTGAAAACAGAGGCTGACGGGGTTTTTTTTCTGTCTCTCTCCCTCCATTGCTCCTATTTTTTAATCCGCTCTCTCTCGCGCACTCCCTCCCTCTCTTTTTCTCTCTCCTTCTCCTCCTCTCCCTGTTCACCCCCTCCTCCCCTCCACCCCTCATTAGCGACTCCGGTCACAGAATCCTTTCGAGAAAGCGCAGGCGTTCGGCTGGGCTTCTCCGTCCTTAGCTTGTCTGCCTGGCGCTCGAGGCCGCGTGAGAGATCTCAGCAGCAATTATCCTGCTCTTTGGTGGTTCGCCTTTTTGATATTTTTTTTTCTACAGGGAAATGAGAAGGGATTATTCCTATTAACAAGGCACCTCTTTTTAAAGAGATGACAGTTTGCCTTACAAAAGAGGTTCTGAACATTTAAATGAAATTTTATTCAGGAGTCGGGTTTTGCTATAATGTACGACCCATTCTAACGTTGGTTTCCTAATCGGTGGTGTCTTCAAACGCTTGAAGCTAAATTTATTCTTTCTTGTCTACTTAGTGATTTCTACTTGGTGTGAAAGGTGACTGTACAGATGAGTGACATCAGAAGAAAGGGCAGCTTCACTCATATCGGCAGTGCTAGAACTCACCGTTGTGATTTCTAGCAAATAATGACTTCATACTGTTCATAGGCAGAGGAGGATTTGAACTCTCTAAATGAGAGGATTAGGTAATCAAATGTTTTTCACACTAGGCTGTAGTTCGGAAATCAGCCCTTTTGAAACAAGCGTCAATATTTGTAGAGTTGTGAATCACATTTAGCTGCCGGTTACTGATGAGCGTTATAAAGATTCGGTGTTGAAGAGGTTTCTGCTGTATCTCCACATGCACGGGTAAATCGCTCCATTAGAAATGCAGCACAGTGCGAAGATATTAATCAATAGAATAATGGACCGGGAGACAAAGTGTTTATCACATGGAGATGTGTGTATGTGTAGCAGAGACAGAACACCTCAAACCACACCGCCCCTGCGGTATAAATGGCTTACCCTGCGCCATATAAATGGCTGACACTGTGCTCTGGCCCCAAGCTTCTCTCCTTGTCTTTGTGTCTGTGTGTCTTATGGAGAGCAAGTTGGGGTATGCAAAAAGACAAATTCCTAATACAAGAAATTGTATATGGCCAATAAAGTGATCTCTCAAATTTAATGACTGCAGTTGCTGAATCTCGCTGCCTTTTTTCTGTCCTAGAGGGTGTCAAATTATACGGCTAGGAATCGCAGGGGGTGACTCATTACACAATTCCCTCACGACTTTTCATCGCGGTTCCACATCTCGCGTTGCGCCGCGAAAGTACTGCGAGGTCGCCTCATTTTGGCAGCCAATCAACGTAGAGCACACCGGAATAAGAGGAGGAGCAGCGCACGAACAGTAATAATAATAATATTTCTTTATTAGTCCTATACACTTTCTTGCATTAGGAATTCGTCTTTTCGCATACCCCAGCTTTTCTCCATGGAGACACAGACAGGGAGAGCAGCTTGGGGTCAGTGTGCAGGGTCAGCCATTGTACGGCACCCCTGGAGCAGTTAGGGCTAAGGGCCTTGCTCAGGGGCCCAACGGAGTAGGATTCCCCTGCCGGCCACGGGATTTGAACTGGCAACCT